AGGCACATGGATTATTATCCTATCACCGACAGTATTGTACTTCAGAACAGATCCTGAAACATCCTTTGTGATGATGAATGCCACACCATTCCCCTTCAAATTGTCATTCCTGGCGTAGTAGATCATATGGTTGTCTGATTCAAAATGGCAAAAACCAGTCCATTTCAGGTCACTAATGTCTAGAATAGGAGTTCTGGTAGCATAGTGCATAAGGCACTTGACTGCTTACCAGAAGGCTGGCAGTTCTAACCCACCAGTCACTCCTCGGAAGGAAGGTTGGGCAATCTACTTCTGTAGTGATACCTCCTCGGAAACCCAAGGAGGCATCGCTGTGAGTCGGGTGCAACTCAACAGCACATAACAACAACATCTAGAATATCAATCTTTATGCATTCCATTTCATTTCTGACAACTTCCAGTTTTCCTAGATTCATCCTTCGTGCATTCCATGTTCCAATTACTAATGGATGTTTGCAGCTACTTATCCTCAATTTGAGTCGTGCCACATCGGCAAATGGAGGTCTCAAAAGGTTTACTTTATGCGTATCAGTAAGGCTGGTGCTACGCTGATGATAAATCTCTTTCCTAGTCATATTTAGAAAGCCTTCTGACCTAAAGGACTTGTCCTCCTGCACTGTATCCAACAACGTTTCTGGGCTATTCATAAAGCTGCACAGTAATGTATCAGACAGTGTTTCTCTGCTATTCATAAGGTTTTCCCTGGCCAATTCTTTGAGAAGTAGATGGCCTCTTCCTTCTTCCTAGCCCGTCTCAGTGTGAAAGCGGCATTGAAACCTCTGCACCAAGTGCAACCCTGCCAGCACTTGAAACACCAGTGGCACAGCCTCAAGCCTCACAGCAACACATAAGACACAATAGTGCAACAAACTGACAGACAAGTTTGTCTCACTTAGCTTTTCTGAACCTCTCTGCCCTGCTCTTACCTGGATCCCTGGGGCTACGCTGGTCTATAGTCCCTCTGGGTTCTATTTTCCCCACTTTCCTGCTTGTTGAGGTGGAGCCTGGGTCCCTCCCCTTACCTGGATCACTGGCTGCTGCTCTGCTGTGTCATCTCCTCTGGCTTCACTTTCCCCCACTTTCCTTCCTGCTGGAGGTGGGGCCTGGGTCCCTCCCCTTACCTGGATCCCTGGCTGCTACTCTGCTCTGTTGTCCCCTCTGGTTTTGCTTTTCCCCTTTTCTATCTGGTGGGAGTGGGGCCTGAGTCCCTCCCCTTACCTGGGTTCCTGGCTGATGCTCTGCTGTCGTCCCCTCTGGCTTCGCTTTCCCCCACTTTCCTGTCTGTTGGGGTGGAGCCTGAGTCCCTCCTCTTACCTGGATCCCTGACTGCTGTGCTGCTCTGTTATCCCCTCTGGCTTGACTTTCTTCTGCTTTCCTTCTTGTTGGAGGGAAGGGCCTGGATCACTCCTCTTACCTGGATCCCTGGCTGCTGCTCTGCTGTGTTGTCCCCTTGGCTGGGACAGTTATGAGACAACTTGGCTGGGCCATGATTCTCGGTAGTTAGGCAGTTACGTAATGATGTAATTTGGGAGTTAAATAATGATGTACTTTTGCAGTTATGTAAAGATGTACTCATTCTCAATTTTGGGATCTGATGTGGTCATCATCTTTTTCACATAATGCTCATTTTTGGATAATGACCTTAATGAGTTAGAGTATTTGAAATCTAGCTATGTCAATAAGTCAGAAGTGGGTGTACAAAATAGTCTTGGATAGAAATTGTGGTAGTTAAGGTTGTGTGTCAACTTGGTTGGGCCTGGTTGAGTGGCTGGGCAGCTGGTGGTAGTTATTCTCCATAATGAGACCGGAAATCAGCTCCATGGTGGGATGCGCCACAAGCAGCTGAGTACCTGTTTAAGGGCTATGGTTTGCTTTCCATATATAAGAAACAGCTTTGGGAATGATCTCTAGCTTATGACATGCTTGAACCCTGCATTTAGCTGTGTCATTGTTCAGCAGCCTGCCATGTTGTGCTGACGTTGGGACTTTCAATGGACTTGAATTAATGCCCTGCCACGTTGTTTGATAACATTGGGACTATGTCTTTTTACTTGTCAACCTTGGGTTTGTCAGCCTCAGCAGCCAGCAGCTACCTGAGTGAAGAAAAGCCTCTAGCTCCAGTGGGCTGAGAGCAGGAGGCAGAGCTGAAGCTCAAGGTTGAGGGGTTTTCACCCAGCCCCTAGAGCCTGGCACTTTGAACTCAGACTTAAAGCCTCCAAACTGTTAAGAGAATAAACTCCTGCTTGTTCAAGCCATCCCATTGGTCATCTATTCTTCTCAGAGCGGCACTAGGTAACCAAAACAAAATATAGTACCGAGAGAGTGGGGTGCTGCTCCGACAGATAGCTAAAATGTAGAAACACGAGTGGAGTGTGTCCTTGACCCAAGACACCGGCAGAGAGATCCCAGCATGTGGCATGAGAGACAGCAGTAGCAAAGCCAAGAGACCAGCATGAGGGATGGCAGTAGCAGAGCCCAGAGACCAGCATGAGATAGTGACAGTCTTACTCGCCCATGGAGGAGAAAGCTGGATGCCACTGGGTAGGGAGCCTCCTAGCAGAGTGGGTTGCCTTTAGGCATTAATTGGTACAAGGGACCAACCAGCATGAGATGGAGTAGCAGGTTAGCCAGCCCACGCAGCAGGGAAGCTAAGTGTCCTTTAGTCAAGAAGATTCCTGGCAGAGTGGGTTGTCCCTCAGGCATTAATCAGCAGAAGCAGAAAGACCAAGGAAATGGGAAGCAGAGCTGCTCAGCCACCAGGGTAGGACCATTGCCTATGGGGCTGGAACCACCACAGCCATCTAGGTTTCAAAGAGCCAGACCTTCACCAACATGATTCTGGAGTATGGGGTTGCTTATTCATGTGAGCCAGTGGGATGGAGTCATAGCTGCTGCCCAAGAGTGAGGTGGAAGGGCTGCCATGCACCAGAGGGAGAGCAGCAGGGCCCACCAGGCCAAGAGGGTGAGGTCACCACTGAGAAAAACTAGGGGGGACTGGAGCCACCCAGTGAAGGAGATCTGTACAGATACCACCCACTGAAGATCTTTACAGATGCCAAGTTGACAAGGGGTGGAATTGTGGTAGCTAAGGTTGTGTGTCAACTTGGCTGAGCCTGGATGAGTAGGTGGGCAGCTGGTGGTATTTATTACCCATGATGAGACTGGCAATCAACTCCACGGTGGGATCTACCTCAAGCAGGTGAGTAGCTGCTTTAGGGCTGTGTTCTGCTTCCCGATTACAAGACGTAGCTTTGGGAATGGTCTCTAGCTTATGGCACGCTTGAACTTTGCATGTAGCCATGTCATTTTTCAGAAGCCTGCCATGCTCTGTTGACCTTGGGACTTTCAATGGACTTGAATTAATGGCCTGCCATGTGGTTTGGTAACATTGGAACTGCACCTTCTTATTTGTCAACCTTGAGCTTGTCAGTCTCAGTAGCCAGCAACATTCTGAGTGGGCCAGTGGACCGGGAGCAGGAGGAAGAGCTGAAGCCCAAGGCCAAGGGGATTTCACCCAGCCCCTAGAGCCTGGCACTTTGAAATCGGACTTAAAGCCTCCAAAATGTAAGAGAATAAACTCCTGCTTCTTCAAGCCATCCCACTGGTGGTATATTCCCATCAGAGCAGCACTAGGTAACCAAAACACCAATGAAATATCATTTTTAGTCCAGTAATAGGCCTTCATGTTTATAGTCAATAGGCTTTCAACAAGGGTGACAAAGCGATTTAATGGGGGAAAGTACAGTCTCTTCAAAAAATGGTATAGTGATAACTGAATAGGCCACATGCAAAACAATGAACAAAAATTAATTAAATAAATCACCAATCTAAAGGTAAGAGTTAAAATTAAAAAATTCTTTAAAGGAAACATAGGAGCAAATCTTCATGGCCTTGGCTCAGGGGATGGGTTTTTCAATACCAAAAGCACAAGCAACCAAATAAAAAATAGATAAAATTTGTAATACATACAAAATTAAAAATAGTCATTAAAGGACACCAAGAAGAAAGTGAAAAGAGGAAGGATAACATGTTAGGTCACAAGGCAAATATGTATTTAAAAAGAATAGAATCCTACAAAATTTTATCTGACGAAACTGGAATGAAACCAGAAATCAATAGCAGGAAAAAAATTGGAAAATACACAAACATATAGAAATTAAACTGCCAATGGGTCAAGGAAGAAAAATGGGAAATGACTGCTAATGGATACAGGCGTTCTTTGTGGGATGATGAAAATGTTCTAAAATTGATTGTTGTGATGACTGCCCAACTCTGTGAATATACTGAAAACTTCTGAATTGTACAATTTAAATGGGTGAATTATATATTATGTTAAGGTTATCTACAAAACTGTTATATAGGAGCTTTGCTGGTGTAACAGTTAAATGCTTGGCTGCTAACTGAAAGGCTGATGATTCAAACCCACCAAGTTTCCTCAGCAGAAAGACCTGGTGATCTGCTTCCCTACGGGGCAGTTCTACTCTGTCACATGGTGTTATTAGTCAGAATCTACTGGACGCACCTAACAACAACAAAGCTGTCAAAAAAATATAAACTGAGAAAAGCATTTATCTTCATTTCAATGGTACTACAACAGAAGCCAGATGAAAGAAAAACATATGGAACATATGCTGTCAAAGCTTTGATCAGGATGGGTGCAAACCAGCTCCACATATTCTTTCTAGAGCTTCCCAAGAACTTATTTTGTGATTAAATCCTGAAGCCCATGGTGGCTACAGTTTAGCAGGTGGAGGTGTTCACTGTTTTACAATGGGTAGGAACAACAGCACAAACAAGAGTCCTAATCACTTATGAAGATGAGGTTTATGTATGCCCCACTAAGACCCCATGTTCTTCTGGACAATTTGTACCGCCAATTGATTAAATATAATATTTGAGTACAAGAATAAATGGATCCCTGTGGTCTCCATGCAGAACTCAGGCTCCCCAGCATAGGCAGCCTCAGTGCAGTTGGGGCTTACCTCACTGTTGCTATAGCGTGCCAGCTCTGAGATGAAGCGCATGTGGTCCTCTCGGATCTGGATCATCTGCTCACAGATGTTGTACTGAGGACTGCTGCTCGAAGAAGTACATGTCCATCTGTATTAAGAGAAAAATGGCATTGTCTGAAGAGTGCCCCAGCATGATGCTGCTAAATCACAACAGCTACAGTAGGTAGTAGCACAGCAACAAATTACAGTGCTATCCCCCTACTGTCCACAATGGCCCATGTGAAGCCTGTATGCAGTCCATGTGCACCCAGTGTGCAGCGCATGTGTGCCCCCTGTGCAACCTGTGTGCACCCAATGTATGGCCCATGTGTAGCCTGTGTGCACCTTGTGTGAAGTCCTATGTGTGCCCTGTGTGCTAAATGCAACAGATTGACAAATTCTGTTAAAAAGAAAGAAAGTAACTGCTCAACACACTTCCTAATTATATTACTAATTTTACTGTTCAACATGACCTCCACTTATTTATACCTTTTGTATCTGTTATGATGGAAACACTATGTACTTGTATGCTACTGGCCATGTCAGGCTGGCAGCTTGAAATCAGTCATGGTGGGAATATTTACACTAGGGAAATCAGTAAATGGTACCAATTAGAACATGATTTAGTGTTGAAGTTGACAGAACTTTCAATTTAATGAATATAATTTATATAAGGATGAGAATTAGTCTAAAGTAGATCACATATCAGATTTAGTATCAGATTTATTCGAAATAAATTAGCACAAAGTTGGCCAAACTACAGCCCAAGCTAAATGTGACCAGTTTTCATATAGCCCTACAGAAGCCTGGTGGCACAAGAGTTAGCAAACCTACCCAGCAGCTCCAGAAAAGAAAAATCTAACAGCTGTTCCCTTAAACATTATAGCTTAAAAAAAAAAAAAAAAACCATACGGCACAGTCCTACTGTCACATGGAGCCAAGGGGTCGATGTGAGTCGGAATCAACTTGACAGTGCATAGCAGCAACAGTTGTTGTGGTTGTTATGTGCCATCAAGTCAGACCCAACTCACAGCAACCCCTCCTTGGGTTTCTGAAGCAGTATCACTACGGAAGTAGATTGCCCAACCTTCCTTCCGAGGAGTGGCTGGTGGGTTTGAACCGCCAGCCTTCTGGTTAGCACTCAAGTGCCTTAGGCACTACGCTACCAGAGCTCCCCTAACAACAACAGAGCCACACAAAATGGTTTTGACATTTTCAAAGGGTTATTTTAAAAATAAATAAATAAGAATATGCAACAGAAACTACAAGTGGCCCAGAAAGCCTAAAATATTTACTATCTGGCCTTTACAGGAAAAGTCTGTTGACACAAAACAGTATAAATAGATTAGTAAGCAACACATTTGTCAAAATCATGGTTGAGCTATGGATATAAACATTCAATGAAACTCAACAAAAACACTGTATGAGACTCAATTAGCTATATGGAATTTACAGCAGAGTGTTATATATTTATCATTTCATTTGTGCTACAGATACTTTATGGCAATGGTTAGCAAACTTTTGTTGTCAAAGGCAAAGAGTAAATATTAAGATTTTTTGGTTACCTATCCATGACATAACTGTCACATCTTCTATTTATTTTTTATTTTAAGAAAAAAAAACTCAAAGTAAGTGAAGACTTAAAAAAAAAAAAAAAAAAACCAAACTGACTGCCGTCAGATCAGATCTGACTCATATCAACCCCTCTTTGGGTTTCCAGTTATCACTCCAAATGTAGACAGCCCAATCAATCCTCCTTCCGAGGAGTGGCTGAAGACTGCTCTCAGCTAAAAGATCTCATAAAAGCAGGCCTAGGTTAGATTTGGCCATAGGCGACAGTTTTGTAAACTCTGCCACATGCATGCTCCCACCCCCTGACCAGAGCTGATGGTTAACCATTTACCAGTGGGTGTCCCACTGGGCCTAAAGAATTCTTTTACACTTCTTTACTCCTTCTATAAGGAGCTCTGGTGGTTCAAACTCATCATCCACTCGATGGAAGGAAGATGGGTTAATCTACTTCTGTATTTACCACCTCAGAAACTCAATGGGGTTTTCTGAGTCTGAATCAACTCAATGGCAGTGGGTTTACTGCTATTACATGTCTATATTCTTCATCAACACTGTTCAACAGAACTCTCAAGGATTATGAAAATGTTCTAACTCTGTGCTATCCAAATGGCAGTCACTAGAGACTGAGCATTTGAAATGTTTAAGAAATAAATATATTGTTTTATTTTTTAATAAATTTAAATTTAATACCCATTGGTAATGAGGGGTACTTTATTAGACAGTGCAGTTCCAAACATCTGAGGAAGTCAAAGGCTGTTATCTCTAGATCAATAAGCAGGGTGCAATAAAACCATACAATGAAGACAATGCGGAAAGATTTAACCCTACCGAGATTTATTTTCCTCATAATGGGCACTGGTCTTTATGTATCTTGCCAGTTCTATCTGCATATCCCCAAACAGTGGAACCACCTGGAGTTGCTGCATTCAAAGAAGAAGAAAATAAAACAGGGATGTTACATATGTTCTATCACCAAATACATAACCACAGCAATGACGAATTACTTTGGTTGAATGCCACCCTTTGTTATGGCTTGAACTGTGTTCCCCAAAATCTGTGTTGTAAATCCTAACCCCTATGCCTGAGGAGCTCTGGTAGTGCCGTGGTTAAGGCATTTGGCTGCTAACCAAAAGGGCAGCGGTTTGAACCCACCAGCCACTCCTCAGACGACAAGATGAAGCAGTTTGCTTCCCTAAAGACGAAAACCTTGGAAACCCTTTGGAGTAGTACTACTCTGCCTGTGGATCACTGTGAACCTGAACACACTTGATGGCAGTGGGTTTTGGTTATGCCTATGGTTATAATCATAATTATATTCATGGCAATGAACTGTCTCTGTAACATCAATAAGGCAGGATTGCTATAAGGTATATCTTGCATCAATCTCTTTGAGATATAAAAGAGATTAAATCAAGCTAGTAAGTAGATATGGGAGAAAAGAGATGTTAACCTACATGAACATTACCAAAGAGCAGAAGCTCAAAAAAGTAGGATCTTCTTCCAGAGCCAACAGATAGCCTTCTCCTAGGGTTAGTACCCTGGACTCAGACTTCTAAGTCTCCTAAACTGTGAGAGAATATATTGTTGTTTGGCAAACCCAAATTATATCATTACACAATTGCCAAACCACTGAGGACCATGGACTGACTAGTCAAGGTGACATATGCTTTGGGGGTACACAATTCAATGCCTAACATCCTTATAGATCATTTATTATTCCAAAAAATATAAAAAATTCTGCATTATATAAACAAAATACATTTTTTTAAGCACTAATGTACATAATCGTTAAATGTTAAAATTAACCTGTGTTGTTGCTATTTCTAAAGTCATAAGAAAATCAATTCCATTTCTATATACAAACAATAAAGAATTAGAAAATAAAATTTTAAGGACGCTAATGAATGGAGAAATATGCCATGTTCATGTGTTGGAAGACTCAGTATTTTTAAAGTATCAGTTCTCTCTAAAGTGATCTACAGATTCAATGCAATCCCAATCAATACTCGAGGAGGACAAATGCTTTTGCAGAGAGTGAATGTGTGAAAGTTTCTGGGTGGTGCTAATGGTTAATGTGCTGAGCAGCTAACCAAAAGGTTGGACATGTGCGTACATCTACATAAAGTGCCTCAGAAAAATGTCCTGGCAATGTATTCCAAAAAATCAGCCACTGAAAGCCCTATAGAGTAGGTCTACTCAGACACAGGTAGGGTCACCATGAGTTGAAACCAACCCAATGGCAATTGCTGTGTGTGTGTGTCTGTGTGTATGTAAATCAACAAGCAAAAATCTAATACATATTTAGAAAGGTGAAAAGACAATATCCAAAACAATTTTGAAGAACGGAACTAAAAGATTCATACTTCCAGATAAGCAGATCTATTATAAAGCTACCACAATTTAAGCAATATAGCACTGAAGAATAGATGAAGGCTGTGGAATAAGACAGACATTCTAGAGCAGAGGCACACACCTACATATACTTAATTTTTGATCTATGTAACACTGCATGGAAGTGGGCAAAAAAGACGGTCTTTCCAATAAATAGGGTTAACTGAATATTAATATTTGGGGGGGGGGGGCAAGAATGTCAATTTCTACCTCACACCATACACAGAAGTCAATTCCAGGGGGATTATAAATCTCAATGAGAAAGAGAATAGTGATATTTCTTTAAAGTAACACTGTAAGAAAACTCTCATGATCCTAGTGTAGATAAAGATTTTTTCAAGTAGACTATTAAGGATTAAAAGGAGTCTTTAAGAACTGGGATCTTAAAAGCTAGCAAGCTGCCATCTAGATGCAATGATGGATCTCTCCTCGTCCAAAACAAAGAAGAATGAAAAAAACCAAAATTCATGGAAACAATTAGTCCTAGCGACTGGTATACCATCCAATCTGCAGCCTAAACAACTATGAGATCAGAAGAACTAGATGGTGCCCGGCTACCACTTGGAAGGGGATCTTGTAGGACATACTTGATAGAGAGGGAGAACAATGTGGAACAAAACTCAAAATAATTTGGAGGAAAAAAAAAAAAGGTGGGGATCAGGTTTGCTGGTCTGATAGAGCCTGGTGGAACCACTGAGACTATGGCCCCTAGCTGCCCTTCGGGTCTGGAGTTGAACCCACACCTGTGGTTGCCAGCCAAACAATGTACGGGCATGTGAGTTAAACATTTACCTCAAGTAGACACACTCTTTGGAGAGAACAATCATGGGAGAAAGAAGGGCTGCTTATGCACAGGGAGACAACTCAGGGGGCAGGAGTGTATGGAGGGATGGACACAGGGAAGAAGGTAACTATGGGGAGGAAGTGGGAGGGGAGCTGTTGCATTGTGGTAAACTGTGGTCAATGACATGAGACAAAGTATATGTGAACTGCTGTATGGAAAGGGAATTTGCTGTGTAAATCTACCCAAATCACAATAATAAAAAAAAAAAAAAAAAAGAGGAAAAAAAAATAAAAGGATTCTTTAAGGCACAATAATTAAATGCTTAGCTGCTAACTGAATGGTCAGTGATTCAAACCCATCAGATACTCCATGGTGGAAATGTGGCCATCTGTTTCCATAAAGATTTCACACTTGGAAACTCTAAGGGGCAATTCTACTCTGTCCTATAGAGTAATTATGAGTTGGTATTAACTTCACAGCAACAAGTTTGGATTTTTTACAGGGGTTATGGATTGAACTTTGTCCCGAAAAGGACACATTGAAATCCTTAATCCCTGGTGCCTGTGAACATAACCTTGTTTGAAAATAGGGTCTCGGAAGATGTTACCAATTAACATGAAGATTATACTGGAGTAGGATAGATCAGAATCCAACGTGAGTGCTGTCCTACAAAAGAGAACAACAAACAGACACATGGAAGGAAGATGGCCATGTGACAAGAGACTTATGCTGTAGCTATAAGCCATGAGACTAGCAGAAGCTGGGAAAGAGAAGAAAGGACCTTCTCCTAAATTCTTCAAAGAGAACATAGCCCTGCCAACAACCTGAACTTTGACTTTTGGCCTCCAGACCTGTGAGATAATAAATTTCTATTGTTTTAAGTCACCTACTCTGTGATACTTTATTACAACTCTAGAAAACAAATTCATCAACATTAAAAAAATAGTTGATATATTGGACTACATGAAAATTAAGAATTTCTGTTCCTCTAATGATACTAGAAGATTCTGGTAGTATAGTGCTTAAGTATTAGGCTGCTAACCAGAAGGCTGGCAGTTCAAAGCTATCAGTCACTCCTCAGAAGAAAGGTTGGGCAATCAACTTTCGTAGAGGTACCGAATCAGAAACCTCAAGGAGGGGTCACTGTGAGCTGAATCGACTTGATGGCAATGAGTTTGGTTTTAATGATACTAGTTAAGTAAATGAACAGGTGCGTCACACTGGAGAGGATACTTGCATTTTGTAATACATGTATCCAACTAAGGACATGTATCCAGAATATTTAAAGAACTATAAATTAATGGGGAGGTTCCGGTAAGATGGCAGACTAGGCAGAAAGACTGAACAGACCCTCTTCAAAAAAGAAAAGGGAAACCAATTAACACAGAAACAGAAGATAATCCTGGACCCCTGAGCCTTGAAGGGAAGGATACAGAAGTGGACTAAACCGCAACTGGCAGAAGAATCTGCATGAAAAACCAAAAAAGAAGACACACGGAGCTGCAGTCTGGCAGTGATCCTGATGGCACAGCACAGACAGCTTTGAGAGTGCCGAGTGGCGGTAGGACCTAAGAATTAACCTAAAAATAAGCCCTGCTAGCCAGGGACTGCATTGAGGACTGTTCTGGTGGCTGGAGAATAAACGGAGAACGTGAAGAGAGAGGTAGGCTGAGCTGTGGACTTCAGCCGGTCCGGAAGGTGCCACCAATTTGAATGTTACAAGTGCCTTGACCATTTTGGATATTTAAAGAGACAGTGCTCTCCGAGATTCCAGGGGCTTAAGAAGAGGTTCTATTTTCCAGCAACCCCAAGGACACTCCGGACTTGCAAGACTGAAAAGGTGTGACATTCCTCTCATTACTCTTACACCCCAGACCCGCTTCGTAAATGGAGATGCAGCCATCCCCCACTCCCACCTTCTGGGCCCACAGGAACTCCATGATAGTCTGTGTGCTCAAACGGAGTCTGGGTGCCCTGCCCTGTCTTCCACTGATTTTTTCTTTTTTTTGCTTTCTTTCTTATGATGATTAGTTTGCTTGTATTTGTCCGTTTTAAAACACCTATTATTATTAATACCTTTGTCCTTTTTACTATTATTCTTATTCTTCTCCTCCCAGGTCCTACTTTTCAGCTATTTTCTTTTCCCTGTTCCTGGTTGAAAAAAAAATTTATTTCCCCCATTTTTTCTTGTGATTAACCCCGTTCCTTATTTTTCTTTTTCCATTTTTCCCATTTTTTTTTCTTCATTATTCTCCTTCTCTACCTTTTTCTCTTAGTGCCCTATCCCCAGATATTGCAGGTTTTCTTCTTTTTTCCTTCTTCTTTTTCCTTCTTTTCTTTTTTTGGTTATTGTTCCTGTGTGATTACATGGTGTGTATTTTGTCCATGTGCTCTTATTTGTCTGATGGTTATTCAAATATAATTTGTGTCTAACTGAGTGGGAGACAGCAACAGTGCCCATAACACACAACTATAACCACACCTCCTAGAACTTCACTTACTGAGAGAGAGCCACTTCCTCCTCCTCCACCAATGGGCAAATGATAAAAAAAACCACCAAGAAGAGCCTGAATCACCCTTGGCTGCTCTTCACAAACAGTTAACAGAGATCTAAATACAACAACGTGATGATGCCTCGGAGACAAAAGACCATCACAGTCCACACAAAGAAGCAGGATAAAGTGATAGAAACAAGGGACCAGGATACAGACCCAGAACACCTCCCTGAGGAAGAAGCAGCATTGGAACTCTCTGATAAGGAATTCAAAAGAATTATATTTAGGTATCTTCAAAGGATTGAGAAACAGACCAAAGAAAACACAGAAAAAAAAAAAACCTAGATTTTTGGAAGAAAATACAAAAACAAAATGACAAATTAAATGAAAAATTAGAAATGATTCTAAATCTACAGACAGAAATCCAGAAGATTAACACTAAATTGTGAGAAATAGATAACACATTGGAAGGGCAAAGGAGAAGAATTGATGCAATGGAAGGCAGAATTAATGGGACTAAAGACAAATACCTGAAAACTTCTTTGGAAAGGGATCAATCAGAAAAAAAATCAAAACATAATGAAGAAAGCCTAAGGTTCATGTGGCATATCATCAAAAGGAATAACTTATGTTTCACTGGAATTCCAGAACAGGAAAAGAAAAATAAAACCACTGAGAAAATTGTCCAATATTTGCTGGAGGAGAACTTCCCTGCTATGATGAAAGATGAGAACACATCCATTCAGGAAGTCCAACGAACCCCAAACAGGATAGACCCCAAAAGAAAATCACCAAAATACATCATTATCAAACTCATCAAAACCAAAGACAAAGACAGAATCCTGAAAGCAGCAAGGGAAAAACAAAAAGTTACATACAAAGGACAGCCAGTAAGAGTAAATTCTGATTTCTCAGCAGAAACCATGCAAGCTAGAAGGCAATGGGATGGTATATATAAAACCCTGAAAGAGAAAAATTTTCAACGAAGAATTCTATACCCGGAAAAACTGTCCCTCAAATATGATGGTGAAATTAGGAGATTTCCAGATAAGCAGAAATTAAGGGAATTTGTTAAAACCAGACAAACCTTACAAGTGGTGCTGAAGGGAGTCCTTTGAACAGAGAAACAAAAATAGCACCTAACAACCGACGATTAATACACAAGAAGAGATAACCCAGAAATCACAGCTATAGACATATCCAAAGTAAAATGGGCTTACAAGATGGTAAGCAGGGAACCAGAGAGATCAATTGGCAAGTGAGGAAACTACAAACAAAATGAGGGAATAGACTATGTATTTACAGAACTTCTACATGGTGAGGAAGTTAAAAGAGTTGAAAAACAGAATGGACGATTCATTGCAGCACTATTACAATAGCCAAAAGAAGGAAACAACCTAGATGTCCATCAACTGAGTAATGGATAACCAAACTATGGTACATACGCACAATGGAATACTATGCAATGCTAAAGAATAATGTAGAATCTGTAAAACACATAATGTGGATGAACTTGAAGGAAATTATGCTGAGTGAAATAAGTCAATCACAAAAGGGCAAATATTGTATTAGTCCATAAGGTTTAGCTATAGAAGGAAATTTTCTTTGTTGCTTACCAGGGGTGGGAGGGGAGAGTTGGGAACGCTGTTAGATAGATAAGAGATAGGTATTGATTTGGGTGAAGAAAAGGGCAATATACCAAATGTGAGTGACCAATACGGCACCATTGAAGATGAGAAACACAGAGAGAGGTACATGAGAGGTACAGACAACAAAGATGAACCTTTTTGCACATGCAGGACTGAGTTGTCAGTGAAGGCAAACATGGATATATGGATGGATAGATGGGTGGACAGGCTAAACAATTAGGTCTGTCTATGAAATGGGGAGTGTATCCAAGAACATATATAGGGTTGGCAGACAATGGTCCTATAAGTTTATGTGAATGACCAGAATTCCCAGGTGTATAGTAGAGTTGACAAGGGGCAAGGTTGTGGTCACTGCTTGGTCACAGCCAGCTACCTAGAGGGACTGAGTAGTTGAACCTGCAGGATTGGGACCACAGTTGCAGGGGACATCAAGCTCCATTGGCATAACATACTATACAAAACATTGTTCCACCTCCTACTTTGGTGAGTAGCAATTGGGATCTTAAAAGCTAGCAAGCTCCCATCTAGATGCAATGATGTGTCTGTCCTCGTCCAGAGCAAAGAAGAATGAAGAAAACCAAAATTCATGGAAACAATTAGTCCTAGCGACTGGTACACCATCCGATCTGCAGCCTATACAACTATGAGACCAGAAGAACTAGATGGTGCCCGGCTACCACTGTCATCCACTTGGAAGGGGATCTATGTAGGAGATCCTGGATAGAGAGGGAGAACAATGTGGAACAAAACTCAAAATCATTTGGAGAAAAAAAAAAAAAGGGGGGACCAGGTTTGCTGGTCTGATAGAGCCTGGTGGAACCCCTGAGACTATGGCCCCTAGCTGCCCTTCAGGTCTGGAATTGAACCCACACCTGTGGTTTCCAGCCAAAAAAATACAGACATATGAGTTAAACATTTACCTCAGGTAGATAGACTCCTTGGAGAAAACAATCATGGGATAAAGAAGGGCTGCTTATGCATAGGGAGACAGCTCAGGGGGCATGAGTGTATGGAGGGATGGACACTAGGAAGAGGTAACTATGGGGAGGAAGTGGGAGGGGAGCTGTTGCATTGTGGTAAACTGTGGTCAATGTCTTGAGACAAAGTGTATGTGAATTGCTGGATGGAAAGTGAATTTGCTCTATAAATCTTCACTGAAATCACAATTAAAAAAAAATTAATGGGGAAAAAAAGAGCAAAACATTTGAAAAGGCATTTCACAAAAGAGAACTCACAAGAAGCTAGTAACATGAAAAGCCATCTGGAAAACATAAATTAAACCACAGTAAAAAACAGCCAATAAAAAATCACTTCCTTCAGAATGTCCACAGTAAAAGAAAACAAACAAACAAAAAAAAAAAAAAAAAAAAAACAATGCCCAGTACTGACAAAGACAAGAGCAACAAGGACTCTCACTGGTGATGAGAATGCAAATCAGTACAAGTACATGAGAAATTGTTAGGTTATATCCACTGCTGAAAATACATATACCCTATGATCCTAAATTCTCCTTCCTAGGAATTAGCTAATGGAAATGTGCAAAGGTGTCCATTAATTACATACAAGGAATTTCACAGCACCACTGTCAAATCCACCAAAAGCAGAATGGATAAATAAACTGCAGTGTAATCATAAAATGGATTCTTATACCACAAGGAAAATCAAAGAACTATACCTGCAGGATACAGCATGGATAAATCTCACAAACAAAAGATTGTGTGAAAGCAGTTGAGTGCAAAAGAGTACAAACAATGGAATGATTTGCCATAAAGTTCAAACTCAGGGAAAATTAATGTAGCGTAAAAGAAGAGAGTAGTCACCTTTGGTGAGGGAAGAGGAGGATGATGGGAGGCAGGGGGCTACAGGGCTGCCAGCATTGGCCCTCCTTCCCCCATTATTTCTTGGTATGGGTCAATCACATAGGGTGCTTATTTCACAAAAACTCAAGATGTCACTGCAGATGTGTCCACACTTTATAAGTATGCTATATTTCAATTTTTAAAAAGTTTATTTTGAAAGATTTAACCCACCTTGAAGTACTTGTCAATTTTAGGTAAGTTGATTCTCTTTTTGGTATCCAATTTATAGATATTACTGACACTGCCATCCATCAGGTATAGACCAAAGCCCATGACCTAAAAATCCACAGAATGTTGCAATAAAACTTAGATTTAATTACCCAAAAGCATTTATATGATTACACTCAATAGTTTTAAATGACAATTCACTTCTCTTTCAAAAAGCACCTTGAAAATCTAGGAAATAAAGTTCTTCCTTCTTATGAAGGTATTTTTACATATACATCCCTTCCATGGCTATTTCAACTTCCTCCCAAGGCACATACGCCAGCACTAATGCTTAGAAAGAGCAATGTAATATTACACATTTGCAGCTACTGTAAGAATTGAGACGGCTCCCTTATATTGTCAGTTCTTAAACCAGCCACCTAGTCTTCTAGCACTAACTTCTTACCAACCAAGCTAGAGGCTAAGATAAAAGACTGTATATTTACCCATCTTACTAATTGCACTCCAGGGACAATCTGTTTAGTAGACTGAATAAGCAACAGATTCAACATCAAATTCAACAGTGACATAACTGATGTTGAAATTGGGGCAGGGGCATTCTTGCATTGTATTTTTTTTTTTTTTCTTTTTTTCTTTTCTTTTCTTTTTTTGGGTCAGTTCCCAAAAACAGTGTCACAAAGATACACTTTTAGACTGGTTGTCTAGTACTTGGAATATGTATTTCCCACTGAAATGATGTTAGGAAGGATGGCTGCAGGCTTCCAGGTCAGCTGCTGTAAAACATAAAAGCAAATCCCCTGGCCTAACCTGAGCAGCAGGGGAATTCCAGAACTGTAGTACCATATGCAATACCCACATGAGACAATTTCAGTTTAAATGCATGTTAAATAAACTTTTTAACATGGCACTTATGGCATTTCAGGTGCTGCACAGTCTCTTATGGCCAGTGGCTCCTACCTAGGACAACACAGATACAGACATCTCTGCCCTCATAGGAGGCCTACTCCAGGTCTACTAACTGCCATTGTAGTGTTCTTCCAAGCCCCACCTCGCAACAGTGGGTGGCCAGAGGTCTTGCTGTTGGGCCTGTTCCTGTAGGAAGGTGTGGACCAACATGGGACACCAGCAAAGGTACCTACGGGGTGGCCTTCTGTGTAGGCAACGCAAGAATTTCCTTATCATCTTTCCAATGAGCTATGTAATTGAAAACCTCCCTAATTTGAAATCGAATAATGATAAAGAATATAGTGAACAGCCATATCTCTTGACCAACAACCTTAGTATATTTAATTACAAGAATCACAACCCTAAAAGTAAAATCCTGTAAAACCTCTGGTCTAAAAGCTTAATGAAACTATATAATCTCACCCCAAGACTTCCTTATCCAAAAGCATAGCACCACCTCCAGTATTATGTAATCTCTCAGCACTGGTGCCAAGCACAGGCTGCATGTAGCTGTTAGAAATGCTGTACATACACACTGCAAACATAATAAGAAAAACTTGATGCAGAGATTCTAGACAAAGCTTAGCGTGTCAACAAGAGCACACATTATTCTTGGCAATGTTACCAGCAGCCACCTCCACATGTACCTTGAGAAGCATGTGTTTCTCACTGGGTGTCAAGTACATTTTATTCTCATAGTAGTCCACACACAAATTGACGATGTCTGCAAGGAGTTCTTCGTAGCCAGAGATAACTTCAAGCTGCTGCTGCAGAGACTGAAACACAGAGCAGAGACGTCCACTGACTGCCTGGCCTGCAGGTGCTAACCAGCAATGTCGCAGAGGCCTTACCTGTGTGATCTTGTTGTGGTTGGCTAGGAACATGGACAGATTCTGAGATTCTTGGATGGACTGTGGATCTGCCATTTTCCGTAAAAACTGAGCAGCCCTTTGAAAGCAATGAGCAGAGTTAATCCCAAAATGCAGCAATATAATTAATAATTTAAAAAAAAAAAGGCAAGGGAGGTACATACTCCCTAGAACCACCAACCATACAAGATCAAAACAACACCATTTGCCCAGGAATGAAGCACAGAAGGCAGTAAGAGAAAGAAGGAAGGATGAATGGAAACAGTAAACATAAGAAGTAGAAAGGGTGTTGTTACATTGCAGATATTGCAATCAATGTCACTAATCAAAATGTGCATAAATTATTGAATGGAAAATCAATCTCCCCTATAAGATCTTACCCAAATAGCCAAAAGTTAATTTAAAAATAAATAAAATCCAGAAAACCATTCTTAAAACACAAAAAGTATTCTTTAAAAAAAAAAATAATAATAATGCAAATTAATTAATTAACAAGCCTGTGAAAATGAGGGTTATGTTATTCTCTCTAGAGTTACCTGTAGGAATGTCAGTTTTAGAGATCAGTTACAACTTCAGCTTCCTCAAGCTTTTCCAATCCAGGATTCCAAGTCAGTACTTTGCCCAATTAGACTTATCTTACATAGCTCTAAAAAAAAACAAACTCACTGCCGTCAAGTCAATCCTGACACATAGCAACCCGTCCTTGGGTTTCCAAGGTGGTATCTCTACAGGAGTAGATTGCCCAGTCTTCCTTCTGAGGAGTAGCTGGTGGATTTGAACTGCCAGCCTTCTGGTTAGCAGTTAAATACCTTAGGCACTACGCAGTCATATATGCACAGCTGACGGTTTTCCAGAGATAGCATGTATGACTCCTGTGAGTGCAAGCACAGATCAGTTCAACTTAGGAACCATTTGGGCTATCATGCCTCTTGACAAGGAACATGTGACCCTGAAAATGCTGCCTTAAGGACCATACACAGTTTTGATACCAAAAGTCCTAACACAAAGTCCTAGTTTCACCCCTAGTTTGCAGCTCTCCTTGGACAAACCTCCTTTAACATTCCTTAACCCTAGTTATCACATCTGTGAACAAACAATATCAGAAAAGACTGATGTGAGAATAACCAAACAGGGACAATGTGTGTGTGTGAAAACACCTGTACACCAAGATCCAACAGAAACAGAAGGTTCACATTGGGTCTGTGCAGTCTTGGAAGATGTGGAGCTGGGTATGAGGACTCTAGACATCTCAGGTTGCCCTAACAAGGTTTAATGGAAACTGCCCACAAGAGGATATGTCTGTGCAATCTAGAACCTTGAGAGTTTATCTAAATAAAAGTTCCCGTGGAAGAGACTGGTAACTTCCTCCCTCTTCTCCACAGAAAGACATCCTGAGTTTACATTCAACAATGTACCAGCTAAAGAACTCATTTCCTTACAGCTAGCTGTGGCCACATGACTAAGGGCTGGGTCATGAGATACTATGTAAAATATAGTATGGTACTAAAAGGTCTACTTATAAGGGAGAGTTGGGGCCTTCTCATCTCCTTCCTCTCTGCTGACTGGAATTTAGAAATGGTGGCTAGAATTGCAGTAGCTGCAGTAGCCGTTCTGGACCATGAGGAAACACAACAGCAGAAAATCAAGAAAACAGGCTGCCTGGATCCCGGAATACTATAGAGGCGCCACATAAGGTATAGACCACCTACACTGAGGCTTTTTAGGACAGAGAAAAAGAAATTTCAACTCAATTTAAGCCACTGATATTTCTGTGGGTATTAAAAAATTATACACAGTTAAACCTAATATTAACTGATACGGTAACGTTCCTTGCCATTTTAAACGTGTTCACTTTACTGATGTGAATAGTTCTTGTAGGGAGTGAGGGATCAAGAATGCTGCTTTCTATTTTCCTCAAGCCTCACCATAATCATATAGGTTATCTTGGCATTTATGGCCAGGAGGAGTTGTGCCACCAGGCAGGTGCAAAAAAAGTGTGGGGATGTGAAGGTGTGGGAAAAGTGGGTATAAGTGTCCAGGATAGGACCCCAACAGGGGGTCCAAACAGAGGGTCCAGAAAGAAGCAGTGGGAAAAGCTATGGGGGATGCCCAGATCCAGTCTGTTGTGCTCAAGAGAAGTACAGGGTTAACAGTAACAGTAGCTCCTGAAGGGTCCCAGGCCTCACCACAGCCTTCTAAAGAGTAGTACCATCTCTAAACTGCTCTGCAAACTGCATCTGGAGAAAAGGTGCTATGAGAAAACATCTTTTCAAAATTGAAAACCACTGATGTTGCCCACCTCTCTCACTGCACTGACAAAACCAACAAGGCTGAAGCACCTGCTCAAAAGCATGCAATGGATAAACAGCACACCCAGAGGCCAGGTCAGCTATGCCTCAGAGCTTTACCATGTTCCAATCAGCATGTCAACATACACACAGCAACCCAAACACTATGAAGAAAAGGGTGACAGCACAATAGTTGGCTTAACAGGTTTATTTCTAGTCCTGAAGGTCTCAACTTCTGTGCAGAGCTGATTTTAGGTGATGAATGGATGTCTGCACACACTTGACATGAAAGCTTAAGATTCCAGGTGATGTACTTGACTCCCACTCATGCCACTCCCTTTAACCTCAGCTTGGTAACAGATCCCAAGCCAATGACATTTTAAAGTCAGATATAATATATTTAGATACAAAGCACCATCTCTTCCAATTTAATTTTATAGCTGTTAGGTTCCACAGGCATTGCTTGGTTTACCTAGGCCCATACAACTAGGATAGCCCTGATGTATTGATACCCTAAAATTATTTCTGTTAAAAACTAAGTAACATAAAAGTCTCCCCTGAGTTAAAATATAACCTCCATATAACTTTCTAGCCCTAAAGGAGTGTTTATCCTTGAATTGATGAACAAAAATTACTGATTAAATGATTTGTGAGTATGGATGTTGCAGTTTTTCATATGATGCATATTATTTGTTTGTACTTTCATGTCTTGCTCAAACACCTAAAAATATCTTCATAAAAACTGCTAATAGCATATTTATGATCACAAAATTTATTTATTACTACATTTCTGGTCAGTTCCCTCTCCTAATTTCTTCTTGCCTCATATTTTACTGAGAAAAATAAAAGCAATTAAAAGAGAACTTACACACATAGGCCCCAGAAGGATTCACCTGCATATGTATTTTCATCCTGTTATCGGAGATGAAGGAGTCCCTCAGTAGTGCAAATGGGTGCTTGGCTATTAACCTAAAGGCTGATGGTTCAAACCCACCAAGAAGCACCTCTGGATTGGCTCCTGAAAAGTCAGTCTTGAAAACTCTACAGAGCAGTCTTACTCTGTACACAAGGAGTTACCATGAGTTGGAACAGACTCAACAGCAACTAACAATAACAATATGAACTGAATTGTACCCCCAAAAAATATGCTGGAATACTAACCCCTTACACCTGTATATGTGATCTTATTTGGAAATAAGGTTTTCTTTGTTATATTAAAGAAGTCCTATCAGTGTAGGGTGTGTCCCAAATCTAACCACTGCTGAGTAATATAAGGAGCAGAATGGACAAAGATAGACATGATCCAACAGTAGGTGGTAGAACAAGATTTTTATGTATTATGTTGTGCCAACTGAGCCTGGTGTCCTCCAATACTATGGTCCTGAGTCAGAAGATCTGGTGGATCTTTCTCCCACGGTATCTGGCTGTCTATGAGGGACTGCTCCATGTCTGTCGTCTGCAGCTTCTGTAATGACTGCTGATATTTTGCACCACTAGTGTCTGTGCAACATTATACTCAGCTGAATCTATCCTTGGTCTAGAGTATACTCCGATCTACTGACCCCCTTCTGATCTTCTCAGTTGTCTATGTATTTATCTCTAGCCTAGTGTTTGGTGTTAGTGGTAAGGCAGTATTGAGCATATACTGGTATTAGCCTCTGTCGTCTATTTCTTATGTGCAAAATTCAGTGTCCTCCCTTTCCCCAATGTTATCATGCTGGTCACAGACTCTTTCCATATCATCCCTCTCCTTATCCCACTCAGCATGTGGCCCCAACTAGTCCAAAATTTTCCCCACCCCTTCCTTCCCATCCCCAGTAACCTACAAAATGCAAACCCTTCCTTCACTTTTTACAGTTATGGGGTCATACAATATTTGTCCTTCTGTGATCGACTTATTTCACTCAGCATAATGTCCACCAGGTTCATCCACGGTGTGAGATGATTCATGTATTCTTCACTGTTCTTTAATGTAGCATACCATTCCACTGTGTGAATGTACCATAATTTGGTTACTAATTCATCTGTTGATGGTCATTTAGGTTGTTTCCATCTCTTTGCTGTATTGAATGGTGCTGCAATGAACATGAGTGTGCATATGTCTGTTCATGTCCTGTCTCTCACCTCTTTGGGATGCATACCTAGTAATGGAATTTCTGGGTCAAATGGTTTATCAATCTTCTTTTTTTTTTTTTAAGGAAACACCACACCACTTGCCACAACAGTTGTACCATTTTACAGACGGCCACCAGCATATAAGAGTTCCTATCTCTCTGCAACCTCACCAGGATTTGTTATTTTCTGCGCTGTTGAACTATGCTATTATTGCTGGAGTGAGATGGTATCTCATTGTGTTGATTTGCAGGTCTGTATTGGCTAATGATTGTGAATAATTCTTCATGTTTGTTGGCTGCCAGTATATTGTATACAGTGAAATGTCTGTTCATGTCCATTGCTCATTTTTAATTTGATTGTTTATCTTTTTGGCATTGAGGTATGGAAGTTCTCTATAATTTTGGAGATAAGTCCTTTGTCAGATATGTCACAGGCAATTATTTCTCCCAATCTATAGGTTCTCTTTTTACCCTTTGGAGAAGTCTTTCGATGCACATAAGAATTTCATTTCTAAAAGATTCCTGTCATCTAGCTTCTCTTCTACCTCCTGTGCATTCTGGGTTATATTTGATAGTCTATTTATGCCATAAATTAAAGCCCCTCGATTTGTTCCTATTTTGTCTTTATACTTTATACTTTTCGGTTTCACATTTAAGTCTTTAATCCAACTTGAGTT